TATTGCTTTTTTCCTAAGCTTTAATTTCCCATCAATATTCAAATTAACATTTGATATTTATAATTTCCAAGCTTTAGGTAACCAAAGTTTCCCTTATCTCAACTTCTTCTTTTTTCCCTTTTCGTAACAAAATCTAATATTCTAAATACACATCTTATCTATTTGAGTATAGTCTTGTTCTGTTTTCTAAAAGTTATTTATTTTCCACCATATTAAACCATTTAATTAATAATACAGCATCCCCTTCAATAAATCAAAACCATTATATGTATTGTCTGGTTAACCAATAAATCAATAATCATAATTTTTTTCATTTGGGTCTAATTTTTAAAAATTCAAATACTCCCTCTTTTTTTCTGATAATATCTTTTATCTCATATTAAGCAAACAGAATTCTTATTTTTAACTGAATTCCAAATATTTTAAATTAGGTGACCAAAGTTCCCCTTATCTCAACTTTTCTCTTTTTCCCTGTTCATACCAAAGTCTATTAATCTTGTTACACATCTTACCTATTCAATTATAATGATACTTTACTTTCTATTTTACACCATATTCAACCCTCTAATTAGTAATATGAAATCCCCTCTAATAACTCAAAACCCTAATTTTCTTCAGCCTTACTCTGGCTTTTTTCCTTTGCCAACTAGCCTTCCATGTCAGTGCTTTTAAATCCTCAAATAGTTCTCCCTCTATTATTATATATATTATTTGAAATAAGAAAGACCATTTAGTTGCAGTTTTCTTGGAAGAACTAGCCCATTTGTATTCATTAGATCGCCTCTCTATTACTCCAATTTCCCACAATTGTCCTGATAGGTTTATCTTCCAATCAATTTGTTCTTCTTCCTTCTCCTCAAATTTCTTCTGATTTATATAGAAAGTCTTTTCCATTTTCAGTGTTGTCACTCCCTTTTCTGAATTTTCCATTGGCTGGATTTGTTGGTCAATTAAGTCCTCTGTCTTAGTGTTTGGTTGTTCCACTTCTTCTATTATTTTCTGCATTGTTAGTTCTTTGGTTGTAGTCAAGATCTGGGTTTGTATATCTAAGCTGGCATCTTGTTCCTTTATGTTGCATCTTATTTTGTCACAAGCTGAGAGAATGGTTTCGTGTATTGATTTCAACATGGAAAGGATTTTTTCTTGATCTTCATCCATATTCTCTTAATAGTGTATTAAGTTGAAGACTTTAGAATCAGACGTTAAAAATAGTTTTTTATAACAAGGCATGGGACATCTAATTCACGTGTTATAGGTGGTCTTTATAGTGGAAGTTGTTTGTCAAGTAAGAATTTATAATCCAAGATATTCCATCATCTTGTGTAATAACAGATGCTTCTCATGTAAAGAAATAGGAAAGCAATTCCCCACGTATAGCTCTAAAAGTCAGTAATGGTTTACATTCATAGTTCAAGCAGGCCAAATATGTCACCCAGAAATTCTCTTTACAGCTGAGTTTTTCACAGGTGGTATCTGTCAAGGTCAGAAAGTGGTTTTTTTGGAGTATGCGCTTCAAGCCAAGTCTTTTTTAGGCAATAACAAGTTGTAATACCATACTTCGCCACAAGATGTCACCAATGCTGTTTAAAGCTTTTTAAATCCAAAGTTTTTATGATAGTTTTTCAAATTTTATTTCTTTTTTTTTTTTGGATAAAAACAAACGTCTCCAGTAAGAATAGGAAAACTTTTAGTCTCCAAGTTTTAAAAGCATATAGATCCAATTAGATTAAAAGTGTTCTTATAGTTGCTTTGATTCCCCTGGGTAGTTAGTCACCGCTTTTCTTGGAGGGTGGGGTAGAAATTCCCTTCCCTCTCTCCTCACAGGGGGAAAAATACTTTGGCAGCTTTTTCAGGAAAAAATACTTAAAGTCTTAAAGAGAAGATCAGATCTCACCCAGTTTCATCTGCATTGCTTTAAAGGTGCTTGATGTGATTTTGAGTTTGGCTGTCAGCATCTTAGTGACGAGCCATATTGCTATGGCTGGTCTTTCCCCCGCCGGTTTGGAGGGCTGCCCTGAATCAAGTGGAAGGGCTGCCGTCCTCCCGCAATCAAGCAGGGGTCCCCTTGCTCGTTGCCCCTACAGGATGACTTTTGACCTTTTCTAGGGTCCCCCAGCGGGACAGATTCGGACGCGGAAAACGGAGCTCGCTTTCCTGCGTCCGCAGTAGCCGCGATGGCAAACCGGAAGTCAGAGCAACTGAATATTTTTGAACAAAGAAAATATTGATCTTTGCGATGCAATGGTATATGTGTATTTGAAAATTGAGGGTTGAGGTTTACTTTTCTTTTTATTATTTGTATATTTTCATCCCATATTTCACTGTTGTAAAATATCTACAATTGTTTACAAATGGAAATGGTTGTTATATAAATTATTTAAATTCTAAATTTAAAATGTTTATAAACTACAAATAATACTTTATAATGTAGCATTCTGTTTTCAAAGTAGTTCAGCAAATGTACTTGAATCAAAAGTAAATTCGAATGAAGGGCTTTTTGAGTGTTACTGGAGAAACCTACTGTCAATTTAATGGGCAAGGTAAACTACTGTATATAAGGAAAGCAATGGGAATAGGAGTTGGCAGAAACTGCAGTCATTGTGTATTGAAATCACACTGTATGAAATTGGATAGATAAAAATATATTTTATCAAGTTTCATTGATTGTTGAAATTGTACTGATAAAATTGGTTTAGAATAGGGGTAGGTAAACTATTTGACTTTTGAATGTTCATCTCAACCTTTCTAAAAGATTTCCAATGCTTTTCTGATTATTTAAGGAGTTTGAACTTAAAACATTCTGTTTCAAGTTCAAAATAAAGGGGTTTTGAGCTTAGTTAGAATAGTTCTATCAAAATAGAGCAGTTTGTACATTGCTAGTTTACATTTTGTGTTTGCTTTTTCAGAAGAAAATGGCATGGACCAAGGAAACTCTACTGTTGAAGAAGCTGCTGTTCTTGCTTTGCATAAGCATATTGGCCAGTGTGTGGGCAGGTAAAACAGATTGCTTGAATCCTAGTTTTTTTCTATGTATTGTTTTCTTTCCCTTGACTTGTGATTCTTAGATTATCTTAAAGAATGCAAGAAGATTCTTACAGATTAGCAATGTTGCAGGTATTCTAGTTCTAGGTTATTTGGACTTTAAAGAAAGCTATTTGAACATATTTGATATTACTGGAAGGCAGTGTTGAACAACCATGCTTTAAATTTGGTTCTTGTAGAACCAAATTTAATTGACCAAATGGCTGATATATTCTGAAGCAATCAGTGTTTCCAAGTGTCTTTAAAAATTAAATTAAGCATTACCAAGGTATTTATGTGGTAGGAATATTTTTTATCCAAATAAAAATGCTAATTTTGTATATTATAATGAATCAGCTGCCTATTGTTTTCAGTGTAACAATAACATTGCTCTGCTATGGAATTATAAAAGGAGATTAGGAATTAGTACCTTTATTTTAGAACTAGTCAAATGGAAACATGGCTAGAGGGGCCTGGAAAATTGTTATCTGATTGTTTAGATTCTCAATCTTTCCCATTGCCAATAATTTTTAATTCAAGTTTTGTATGGAAAGAAGAAGCCAAAGTGAGAAATATTTCCTCTTATTTTTCCCCCTTTACATTAATGCCTATCAGTGCTTTTTTTCTATAAAAAAAAAAAAAAAAAGGTGCCGGAACTCACACACATCATACAACCCGCCTTGCCTACCCTTACAAGGTTCCATCCAAAAAAAGTGCCGGAACTCCGTTCTGGGCGTTCTATGAGGAAAAAAAGCCCTGATGCCTATGATTCTAAACTAATCAAATAAAGCAGAGGGACAAGATTATGCTGCCTGTGTCCCTTTCTTTATTTGTAGTTAAAGTAGAATCACTAGCTCAAATTCTAGGTATTCATGTACAAATTATAAGAAACCCAGCCTACTTACCCATTTTATTTTGGAAAATAAATTTACCTATATAAATTTATTCCAGATAATGTTTTTACTATTCAGTTACCTGAATGGTTGAATAAAGGTTCAGCAGGTGGCAGTACCTAGTCAAATTTGACTGATCTAAAAAAAAAAATTATTAGGTTTGAACTTAGTTAGTATATAACAGAATACCAACAAATTGAATCTTCCTTAGTTCACAGATGCATTTGTGTATCAGTAATAATTATTTAGATTTATTCAAGCATTCAACTAAGATGATGATATTTTGGGGAAGAAAGAAAACTAGTTCTTTAGAAGATTAACTTTAGAAGATAACAAATGATTGTCTCCTTATTGTTGGAGGGATGTGATGCACAATGTTTTCTCAAAAAATATGGGAATTCAATGTCCATATATGATAAGTATTAAGATTTCTCGTAGTTATTGTGATGCTTTATCACAGGGATGTCAAACTTGCAACGTAATGTGATGTGCCATGACATATTGGGACTTTTTTTCCATTGCTGGCAATGGAGTGGGTGCGCTTTCGGCATGACGCATCCAGCCTGCGGGCCGGCAGTTTGACACCCCTGCTTTATCATGTTATTTATCCTTGTTTAATACTGTACCTTGATACAGAGGTATAATTCAGGTGATGCTTAGAAGTCATGAAGTACCACTTTGTTAATCTGGCTACCTTGATTAAAAAGCTTAGTCAGGAGCTTCTATTTGCAGTTCTGCATCACAGAACCATTTTCATCCATATGCTTTCCTTTAATCATGATTGCATATGATAACAATACTCCACTTTCAGCTTTCTGCAGTTCTATTGTCATATAAATGATTTCATGTATATATACATTTCTTACCCATGTAAGGTTTTGACTTTGTAGTTATAAGACAACAAAGTAATTTTTAAAAACAGGCTCAACAAAATTTCCCTTCCAGCTGCTAGAGTCAAATCTAGATTAAATGCATAATTTTTAAACCTGAAATTTACTTTGGTGAAAAGCAACATGATTTTATTTCTAGTGCCTTGAAAGAAATTTCTTCTGGATGGCACCTATGGAAAAGTATAAAAACTGGGATCATGCCTTTTCTGAGGTGCTCTGCTATGTTCTTCCACTATTTAAATGGAGTTCCCATACCACCAGAATTGAAAGGTAATTTTTATTTGGCTATATTGGTTTGATTCCTAATATTGCTTTCTGAATAGAATAGCTTCAAACTACTCAGATGAAGAAATGCAAATTTCCAATTGCTCTTCCTCAATGTCCAGCTTTCTGAAACTGATTTTCAGGTATACAGGTGTCTAGTCAGGGTAAAAAAAACATTGAAATGTGTAATTCACTTGAAAAGTGTCATGGACATAAAGTCCTGCTTTGGACCAGTGATCTATTTTCAGCCCAACTCACCTCACAGGATTGTTATTGTGGGGAAAATAGGAGAGGGAAAGAGTATGTTTGTCATGATATTTGTAAAAATAATCAAAAGTGGGATAAAAAAACAAATAGAATACAAATGATGTGAGCATGAATACATTTTCTACCTTTTAATTTAACAAGGAACTAGGGGAACTAAAGTAGACTATATGTTTACACTATTACTTCTTTGTTGTGATTTATGCATATAATTATTGTGTGTTATTTAGCATGTAACAATAGAATTCTTTGCAAATATAGCAATATTAATTGCAGCTAATTATAAATATACTTTTTTATGTACAGCCAATGGGGCAAACCAGTTTGAATACTTATGTAGCTATCTCTCCTTGCCAACCAACTTAATTTGCCTTTTTCAAGAGAACAGCAAAATTACAAATACATTAATAGAAAGGTAGGAACTATATGTTATCCGTTTAAATATACAAATATCTATTTAAAAATACAAATCTTGCATGGTGTTGATGAAGTAGACTATAAGAGGGAAAACCAAGCAATAGCAGTGCAATTATCTGGGGGGGGGAATTAACGATAAAAAATCCTTTTGAACTGATGTGCTGGGTCATAAATGTGTAGTATATTCTTTCCGATGCTTGACAGGCATTACAAGCTTTCTCATCATCACTATTTATCATTTGGTAATTTGGAGAGGATCTGGATGGTGACGAAGAATATAACTTTATGGTTATACAAATCGAATAAATAAATAAATGATTCTCCTATGTTATTTTCACTAAAATAAAATAAATTCCCTTTTTAAGAATACTTACATTATACTGGATTATATTCATAATTGCCTACCTATATGCATATGTTATAGATTAAGGAAATAAAAGTATATGATTCTTCAGTTATTTCGGAGGAAATTAAAAATATTTTTTTCACCTTTTTTTAAAGCTGGTGTAATAACAGTGAAGTAAAAAGATGCCTGCAAGGTCAGCGACAAGCCATATGGTGAGGATTTCTTGACTACTGAAGTTTTAGTGACAATTGAAAAATAGGAACATAAAGCTTGTAGTTTATTGAAACTAAGCGGTATAGGTAATCCTTGACTTACAACAGTTCATTTAGTGACTCTTCAAAGTTACAACAGCACTGAAAAAAGTGACTTATGACCACTTTTCACACTTACGACCATTTCAGTATCCCAATGGTCATGTGATCAAAATTCAGACTCTTAGCAACTGACTCATATTTTGGATGGTTACAGTGACCTGGGGTCATGTAATCCCTTTTGCATCCTTTTGGCAAGCAAAGTCAGCGGGGAAGCTAGAGTCACTTAACAACCATGCTACTAACTTAACATGTACAGTGATTCACTTAGTAACTGTGGCAAGAAGTTGTAAAATGGAACAAAACTCACTTAACAAACTTCTCAGCAAGATAAGTTTTGGGATCAATTGTGGTCATAAGTCAAGGCCCACCTGTACAAGTCTGTCTGATAGGTTGGCTGGGATGTTAGTATCCCAACTAACCTATGTTTGTGTTTGGAAGTAGCATCTCAAAACATTTGCAATATGGACTGGTCCAAATGAGGCATGGGGGATGTATCTGTTCTATATAACAGAATTATTTGTTATAAAAGTTACTATATTATCTTACTAACTTATAGGTAATACTGTCATACTTTTTAAAGATTTTTCTCAGATAAAGCTACCATACAGCTAATAGTCAATTCAATTTTCTGTAATAGGTCAAACTATTTATATACTTAGCTTCATATGCAGTTTTGAATATTTTATGACATACTTTGTATTTATATGATTTCAGCTATCCACGTGAGTCTAATAAATTAATAGAACTTCCAGAAGATTACAGCTGCCTAATCAATCAAGCATCTAATTTTTCGTAAGTCAAGCAGAAAGCATAAGGTGTTCCCAGATCCTCCAGTTTCTACTAGCTTTCTCCATTCTGTTGCTCTGTTCTGTTTTCCACATTCTGCATTTCATATCACTCAACCAGAAACAAATTTTGTGGGTGAGGGTAACACAATGAGGATAACAAGAGGGAGAAAATATGGGGTAATTTCTGTTGTAGCAGCGCATTTTCACTTGCAATACTTTGAAACTAAGCCATAGTCTTTTAACTGGAGAATGTATATTTAGTACATCATGACAACTAATGTTTCACTATATTAACCAAATGTTTTGTTTCTTTCAAAGGTGTCCAAAGTCAGGTGGTGATAAAAGTAGAGCACCAACATTATGCCTTGTCTGTGGAACTATGTTGTGTTCTCAGAGCTACTGTTGTCAAACAGAGCTAGAGGGAGAAGATGTAGGAGCATGTACTGCACATACATATACATGTGGCTCTGGAGTCGGAATTTTCCTCAGGTAAACATATGGTTTTAAATTAGCATTTGGTCAATTTGCTAAATTGTCACACTGTAAGAAAAGAGTAAAAAATGACAAAAGATTCAGCAGCAACATCAATTTATTTCTTTATGTAATTTATATGGCTGTCCATCTCATTATGCACTTAACAGCTAAAAACAAAAAAAATAGCAAATAACATAACCATCTTATAGACTCTAATTGAAATTTGATTCCCATGCCCAGGAATTTAACCGTGTCTTTAAGGCCTTACAAATGGCCAGCAGGATTGGGGCCAATGTGATGTCCAGGGGATGCTGTTCCAACAGAGATGGACCACTATGGAAACAGTTTATATCTTGGATCTCATAAAATGTCCCTCTTTAATTGGCAGGAGACATAGCATAACCTCTGAAGGCTCTGATAGGATGGGTAAAAGCGATCAGGGAGAGATAGTCCTGAAAAAGGTCTCATTACTCCTGTTTACTCTGATATGATAAATTCTAGTCTCTAGAAATTTATGGAATAATTTATTGGACAATATTAGGAGATTGGATATCATCTTTATTCTGTCTTTTTTTTTTCAGAGTACGTGAATGTCAAGTGCTATTTCTTGCTGGAAAAACCAAGGGTTGTTTCTATGCTCCTCCCTATTTAGATGACTATGGAGAGACTGATCAGGGACTCAGGTAGTTTTTCATTATTTGCTTTTGATATGAAGACTGATACTATATGCAAATTTCATTCATCCTGCTTTGAATTTTTTACCAAAAATGAAGAAATGAGCTACATAAATGAACTATTTTGTTGCAATACTCAAAATGGCCACTTTACTCATTTCTGTATATCCAGTATATACATTGCAAACTTGAAAGAAACAAAATATTTTTTAAAATAGGATAAATCTAATAGTAATAGTTATAATAATTTTAAAGAAGTTGAACTGAATGTCAATGAGATAATTATGTCAGTGAATCTTGTTCTAGTTTTATAAAATGGACTTACAGATCAAAACTCCAGGGGCATTGCTTAATACATAAATTGAAGTATTTGAATAGAGGAAAGCTTCATAGAAGCTTTATTTAGTTTACCTGACTCTCTTCACTCATAGTGGCAATCTCAGGTAAGAGTAAAATCCACATGCAACTAGGTCATTACAAGCATTTCTAGCCACTTCTGGTTTGCGCTCGTAGAGTATGGCTGTGTGTGAGCGGATCTCCGCTCCCCACGGCTGATTTTGTCCTGCCTGGGGGACCCTACATGGGTCCGAAGTTGCCCCGGAGAGGTGACCGCGAAGAAGAGGTGCCCCACAGTCGCTTCGTTGATCTGGGGAAAGCCCTCCGAACCTGACAGAAGAAAGGCTAGCCACACACCAGCGTCTAGCCCAAGCTATTGCAGCCGAAGTCCAAGAGCACTACCAAGAACAACAGTGAACAGCATGCTTGGAACTGGTGAGAGTATTTGATCTTCTCTTCCTTATTTTACAACTTGTCCCTGGGAGATCCCCAAAGCAAACAACCTCCGAAAGTGAGGAGAGGGAATTACATTCCCATTCCCCCATAGACGGAAGCGGTGAATTAACCTTTAAGGAGAAAAGAACTTTATTGAAATTAAATTCAAAATACTATAATCTGATCAAATTTAAAAACTAAAACAAACTGCTAAGATTATATTCTAAAGGATTTTGATCAAATTACATAGAAAAAGAAAAATAATAAGAACTTTTTGTCTGAAAGAGCTGGAAAATAAATATTTGCTGACATCTAGTGGACAAGGAGAATATAGCATAATAAAGACAAGGCCCAGAAATAAAGAATAACAAATCTATTCCCATGAACTCTAATAACCTTTAAGAAGATAGCTGCTAAGGAACAGAGAAGAGATTGCATACTGGGCCGCTACAAGATTGGAAAGTGTTTAAAGGAAAAGAAATGTTCTGATTGTGGTTTAAATGTATGAACTGTTTAAAAACTTTGTTCTATGATAAAGTGTTGAGAAGGGAAGTTACAGGAAGGATTTAAGCTGGTTAATTATACTGAATTGACAACTCCTGAAAGAAAAGAATTTTTATAAAATATTGACTTTACTGAAACTTTGACAACTGAAAATTACAGTGGATTACAAAAATTATATATAACAAGAACTATACAAAATTGGACTGTATGGATGTTGAGTTTTGGTTAGCTGGACAAGGCTAACTACAGAGACTATGGCATTTATGATGGACTACTCGAAAGGGGGAGACAACGTGGATATGATATACTTATCAAAAAATGATAGAAAACCACACCTAATATCTATTCCTGAAAGATTTAGCTTGAATGATCAAAGACCTTTAGAAATACTTCAAGACAAGACAAATACTTTCCAAGATGGAATTTATGTAATGCTACGACAGATACAAACTACAATAGACTTAAACCACCAGGAGATTAAATGTAATTTTGATACTATAAGTGAATATACTTTTAAGTTAAATCTACAATCAAAAAACATTCAAAGAATGATGTTAAAGAATGAGCAAACAATCCAGACAACAGAATGTGGACTAGAAAAAAATGATTTGACTGGTGAAGTTACAATTGAAGAGAATTATACCTTAATACAAACAAGAAAAAACTTACAAGACTTGGAGACAACGATAAATATGGAAAAGGTACCTTACGCATTAGAACGTCAAAACAAACCTGAGAAGAAAGAAGACTTAACAAAATGGACACTGCTAGGAGAATTATTGTTTGGCAGACAAAAAGCACACATCTTATCTACTATGTATCCTCTACTCCTAACAATACAAAAATACAAGAACTGAACAAGTTGAAAATATTAATTTGGAAAACAATTTCAAAGGAAAAAGATTAAGAGACGGGCTGAAGAAACTGGATTCGCCCTACTACATGGAATACTATATGAGTAAACACCTGTTTGAATATGGCTAAACAAATAAATAACTTTGGCCATAAAGGGACTTTAGAATAAGTGGGATAAGAGATATAAGTAATACAGTATTTTTTTGATAAGATACAAAATGTAAAAATATAAGAATGTTGTAAGGGAAGGAAAAGTTTGAATTTTAAAGACAAGTTTGAAAAGATTTAGGATTAAGGGAAGATTGAAACATTGAGGGGAAATTAAGCTTAATAAGAATTCTGAAAAAAAAGGATTTATAGTGATTTAACTAATTTCTACAAAGACGTGAAGTATAATCTGATTAGAAAGATGTTATGGATAGATGTTATAAGAGATAAGTAGTATTTAACATCTAAATATCTAAATTTTCCATTTAAATATATCATCCCAGATAAGTAGTATTTAACATCTAAATATCTAAAGTAGTATTTAACATCTAAATATCTAAATATCTAAATATCTAAGTAGTATTTAACATCTAAATATCTAAATTTTCCATTTAAATATATCATCCCAGTATTTTCATATTTCATATAATATATGAAATATGAAAATATTGGGATGATATATTTAAATGGAAAATTTAGATATTTAGATGTTAAATACTGGGAAAATATGATTGACAAGAATTGTTTGAATATTATGGAGAAATTGAGCTTAAACAAGATTTATGAAAATAAGATACATGGTAAATCAATAAGATGATTCTTACAAAAATAACAAGCTGGAAAAAATGTTATATATGGGCGCTAGTATTGTTGGTATAAATATAGAAGAAAATGTTTTTACTTAATCATTTAAATATGGAAAATGTCAATATTAGAAATTATATTTGTTTAATGTTATAGAAGGAGAATATTATTGGGTGAAGAGAAGATGTAGGAAATATATTTACAATTGATATACTAATTATGGAAATACAAAAATTAATTACTATTGATTGTTTATTAATTATTATTAATTGTATATTTTTTTTAAAAAAAATTATGAACCAAGACAACACACTGTACACCAGGCACTTAGGATGTTATTGTAAAAAACCAATAAAACTTTTACATAATAATAATAATAATAATAATAATAATAATAATAATAATAATAATAATAATAATCTTTTCTAGCCATTGGGCTACATTATTTCTATGTGTATATGGAATATTTGAAGAAAATTCATGCATATTGAATTTCATAAATATTATTACATATTTTTAATTTATATGTTCCTTTTTCTTCCCTTCCCTAGGCGTGGGAATCCTTTACATCTGTGCAGAGAAAGATTTAAAAAGATTCAAAAACTCTGGCAACAACACAGTATCACAGAGGAAATAGGACATGCACAAGAAGCAAATCAAACTTTAGTAGGCATTGACTGGCAGCATTTATAATTTATTTTCTGAGTTCTAGAACTGAATAATTCTTTTGTAATCCATCATAATACATCAAGCAAAAAAGAATTAGTAAACAAAGGATGGAAAATAATAAAGAGAAGAATTAATTTTTTCCATTTTTGTTTTATACATTTATTGGTTACCATAACCATATAACTTTACTGTGTAGCATATTTAATTAATAGTATTATTTGCACTGAGCTTCCTTCACAATCTCTGTTGATGTTTCTAACTTGACTGAATGAATTTGTACAAAGTTATACTTGGCATCTACTGAAACTTCTTTAGATATCTGAAGGAGGAGGAAAAATTTGGCTGAAATAGCATCTTGATCAAGCACAATGCTGAAGCAGTGTGGTCTCCTTTTTGTAAGAAATCTGAGCCATTTTGCATTTTAGTACTTAAACTGTTCAATACTTGGAATTAGCTGAAAAAAGGTGCAAAAATGTAGCAATGGATTTATTTACAAGAGTGCTAAATAACACTCATATTGAAAATGACTTTGTAATCTGCAGTCTTGCATGGTTCCTTGGCACTAGTCCTTTTAACTAAAAGAGAACACTTCATAAGGGAAACTAATTTAATTATCTTCTTGAAGTCATGCACACTTTAGGAGTATTTTGTGTGGATTGTGATATTGACATAGTAAACAAGGACTGTTTTTCCACAATATGATTGGTAGACTTTGATATTACATTGTTTTTCTTAGAATGTAAGATAGCAATTTCATCCCTTGAAGGAGTCATGTAAATCTTGATTTGATCTCAAATTGAAAAAGCTGAGAATAAGAATTTTTTAAATATTTATTCCAGTTTTAAAGATTCTAGATATATTAGCCTTTTTACAATTCTTATGATGAAACAGAGGAACCCAGTATCTGTGGGGGTCCAGTTGCAAAATTTAATAGTTACTAATTTCTTTCGCAGGCACCAACAAACACATGAATTTGCACTTGGCTGGCATTCAGTAAAGAAGTTTGTCTATAGTATACTTTATAAGTATATTGAAAACTGCACAGATTTTGCACATGGGTGCCTGAAGGCAGTGAATTTTCTAAATACTATACTTTCTGGAGAGTTATCATCTGTCCTTTAAAATACCATTTTTTTAAAAAAATGCTTTATTACATAATCATAATCTGTAATCTTATCTAATACTGATAAAGTAGGGAAATTTCAGACCACTGCTGAAAAGCCATCCTTTTAACATGCATTTTCATGTTATTATAAATTAATTTTTTTAACGAACAGGATGTATCACTTCCTGCTGTCTTGTCAGAATAGTTGCTATTAATATATCAGACACATACAAAGTTAGATGAATTTGGCTGCCTTTTATTAGAGTGAAATTGAGCAGCCTGATTACAGTCTTCCTAATGCATTAGTAGTAACCAAGGCTCTTTTTCCTCTATGTGTTGAATAGTAGTAGTTTCATTTTCCTTCTTTCTCAGTCTAGGTTGTAGATACTTGGTGTGACTGATGCATTTAATTTGCTAATTCTGCTCTAACACAATTTATTTAATATAAAATTTGCTTTAAGATATACACAGTAACAATGCATTCAGTTCTATGGAGTTTATCCCCCCTTGTGATTGCATAGATAAATCAGAAACAAGAATAAGGAAAGTTCTGCTGCTTTGTAAAAAAGAGAATTGTACAAAGTAAATATTGGGATAAATGCCCCCTCCAGGTACTACAGATGAGATGAAGGTCGAATAGGTGGTGGTTTTAAGGTCATGACACATAAAGTGTGTAATTTATCCTGGTTTTTAGCAAGGTTGCTTCTTCTTCAATTGCCCATTTTCTTCTTTGTTTTTCTTTCAGCATGTATTTATGTTAATTACAGAAATATTTATATAACAAGCTTTCACTATCAGGGACTTCATACCTGTAATGAATGACTTTCATATCTGTGAACAACTTGTAAAAATTAAAATGTATCATATGTATAAAATATAAGAATAAATGCTTTAGGTGTTGTTGATATTTAATTAATTCTTGAATCTTGCTCACTTTTAAAAGATTCTGTTCCGTTGAAGACTTTAATTGCTAACTTGTTAAAAATGCCTTGGATACATAGCGTCTCTGGTTTCTATTTTTAAAAGTTTTAAATATTGCAGTCAGCCACATTATTCTACTATCCTTCTCAGGGTTGAGCTGAAACAATTCAACATTAATAAAATTAGTATCTCAGAAGTTACTTTTAAGTAGTTTTTGTGACTGTATTACACTGTATCACATGATTATTTATAAATATCTAAAAATAGTAACTTTAATAATTTGATGAGTTAAATAATATTTTTTACACTTTCCAACATTATTCCTGAACAATCTTATTTTCTTCTGTAATTTCTTCAATATGAGTCAGGTATGGAAAGATTATTTTTTAGGATAATCTTTCAGCTCTAGGAAGCAGGCAATGGCAAACCACTTCCAAAATGTTGCCAAGAAAACTGCAGGAACTTCTCCAGGTAGTTGCCAGGAGTCAACATTCATTAGAAGGGACAAAGAAAAAAAAGAAAAACAGAAAAGAAAGAAGAGGACATCTAAATCCCTGGTAACTAAGATGATGAAAGTTTGTATTTTAGTATTTCTGGAATACTTTTTAAAAATTACTTTATCACTTATGTTCTGGCTTATTAATTCAGCACGAAGATACTGTTAGAATAAAGATGCTTCTGTAGCCTTCGCTTGCTCTGGCTAAGCAGTGTATGCGTAAGGAAGCAACTGTTGTCAAGCATTAGGTGTCCAGAACAGAAGAATGTGTGAAGGTTAATCTTGTAAATTGTATTAAGGTTACTTAGGAATAATTAGCTCTGATAAAGCCGTGTGTATTTTCCACTCCTAGAATGTTTCATATTAATCTCTTAGAAAAAGAAGAAAATGTTTACTTGCTTCCCTTAGTATCACATTTCTAAATTTAAGCAGAAATGGAATTGCTACACATCTTAACAGGAGGAATATTAGCATACAATAAACTCCCCACAAAATGTACTTTTTACAATCACAAATTTTTGTACTTGTTTTTCAGCATGGGCATCATTTTTGAAGTTGATATATGAAGCCTGAAAAAAGTTGGGCTGCCTAAGTGAATAGTTTAAATTTAAATTTAAATTGAAAATTACGTCAAGTCGTTTGACAGAAAAGGATAGTGGTAATCAAATATTCTTACAATTTTTTCTAATAGTATCTACAGTATATTCACATTTGGAAAATCATATCTATAACCTCTTTTATTTGACAGGACAATTATTACAAACTGCATAATAGAATATGAATTCCTATCTTCTACAATAGTGATTTTGTGATTTCTAAAAATATGCCTGATCAATTTGTCTCTTACTTTCAAATAAGTACAGTAGTTTTAATACTAGGGCACCTTACTGAAAAACTGTTAACTAAATCAAATGGAAGATATTTCCACTCTCTTCCTTCTTTTGATCCCAAGAAAGCAACATAATAATTGAGGTGACGCTCCTTCAAGGAAACAAAAACAAATTCTCAAACAAAAAATATACGTAATTGTGATGTGGGACACAAATCTGATTCTGGTCTTTTTACTGATTACAATGAATATCCTTGTGATTATTGGAAACTACGGCAATAAAAGAAAGTATTGAGTAAAAAAATGAAACTGGATAAAACCCCTTTCAATGAAAAATGATAGTTTGAATTGAATATGTTTAGATTTGAGGAAAATTTTAATGCAATACAATAAAATTCTGGAATATTTACAGAACATTTGTATAACATACAAAGAATTAGCACAGTGAAATAGCCCCAATGAGATTTCTGAAATCTTCCTAATTAAACCTTTTACCAATTGCTTTATATGAATAGTTAACCCATATTCATCTAATTAGATCCATGATAAACCAGGATTATACAAACTCTAAGGATTCTGTTATATTATATTCATACTGAGTCTTCCAATTGTGGGAAATAGATTTCCATTTTCCTACTTTTCATCTCTGGTTTCAAAAGCTATCATTATGGAACAATCACAAAACTCAGCAAAGACTCAGAGGACTGTACTAATACTTTAAAATATACCAGCATATATAGTAGGATTTGGATATTATTTGGGGAAATCCCCAAAATGTCATTACAAAAAATGCAAGCAAAATGACCAGAAGAAAGATAGCGTATGCAGGATTGAATAAAGGTATAAAGATTTTCCTACTTCTCATATTCAAGCAATTATCAAACAGTGACAGTTCTTCAGTTTAGACACTTGACATAAGTGCTATTATTAAAATCCTTGCCTGAACATCATTGCCTCTTATTGGGACTATTACAGTAATAATTCCTTGTGGTATTTCTACCTTCTCCATCTCTGCTCCCCTACTTTTTTATTGCTAACTCCCTTCCTTGATCATATAAGCTTTCAACCATATTCCATTTCATATCACTTTCAGTATCACATTTTTTATTTCAAAAGTTTTGCTATTCTTTTCATGGCTGGAGCTTCATAACTAGGAGAGAATTACCAACCACTTACTGATTTTCTATTTTCTGCACCATTACAATGCCATCAGTCAAGCAAAGATCCTAGTTTTAGCTACTGCCTCTTCCAAATAAATGGAATCCAGGGCCCAAAACTAGGAAAATGGGCACCAGTGAAAACAGCTGCCAAGGTGGACTATTGATCTTAAATATAATTTAACTTAGACCTCAGAAGAGGCTTTGTCAACAAGCACCTCCTGTCTGTAACTTCCTTTGCTGCCACTTGTCTCTTTGAGCAACTTTATTCTGTTTTTTTATTGATCATAATAAAATGATGCTTGTGCATCATTACTCTTATCAAAGGCTACAAGAGTTTTGGGTTGGCTCCGTTCCACATCTAACTAGACTGCTGATTAATAGGCGGATTTCTCTGCTTTCTCCTGGGAAAGGCTCACCTGGCAAAGATGTGTTTATGTAGTGTCTGTGTGAGTGCTTCATAAAATACAAAGATATTTATTTAACTCTCCATGCTTCACTCAGGCTTATAAACATTAAAAGATACCTGCAGAATAATATAACATTAGACAATCTTAGTGAATACATTTTGTATTAAAATGC